TGCTAGTATGTGAAATGTATTGCCTTCTGAAAAATACTTCACTTTTTATTAGTCATCATTAGATTTCAGATGGCTTTTCATTTAATTGCAGCAAATGGAAACCACTTTCTTAACACGTTAGGCGCCAAGCCTGTTTTGTCTTCCTTTCCGTTTCAGTCACCGGTGACTGACATGGTGCTTAACGTGTTAAGGAGTTAGCAAATTAAAATTACTGCCATTCTCTCTAACCATGTCTCACATCATTTAGCACGTTAAGCACCATGCCAGTCACGGTGACTGACACTATACTTTCCCTCCGGACCTCGTTGGTCACCGCTGCCGCCAGCATATCGGTGAAATGGGCTATCGCGGGACAAACGGAAAGGAAAACAAAACAGGCCTGGCGCTTAACATGTTAAAGAAAGACCGCTTTGTCCACGCATCACTGAAATTCTACTTGACATTCATTTAAATACTAAACCACTGTACTCCTTCTCCTTCCAGTTCTGGGTTTTAAACAAAGCTTCTGACCCGGCCGGTGTGGCTCAGTTGGCTGGGCATCGTCCTGTGCACCGAAAGGTTGCTGGTTTGATTCCCAGCCAGGGCACATGACTGGGTTGTGGGTTTGATCCCAGGTTGGGGCACTTACCAAAGGCAATTGATCAATGTTTCTCTCTCACATTGATATTTCTTTCTCTCCCTCTCCCTGCCTCTTCCTCTAAAGTCAATGAAAATATATTTAAAAAAGAAAAATAATGCTTCTGAAGCAAATTCCATTCATTCATTTCACAGAAATGCAGTAAGGTCTATGCCGGGCTCTGAGGACAAAGTTGGGGAGAAAGCCATGGTTCCGCCTCCCTAGGAGTCACCGGGAGAGCCAGACAAATGACCCCCAATGCACAGAAAAGGGACACGTGCTGGCACAGGGACAACTCCCAACATCTCAGGGGAGTGGAGAGCAGGAGGGATGCCTGCCCCCCACCCAGGGAGGCAGGGAGGGCTCAACAAGCGGCAATGTGTGTGTGTGTGGGGGGGGTCGGCGCAGATCCTCAGAAGCCATCTTTACCCCCTGGAACACAAGGGAGGGTAGCTGGGAGCGGTGCTGGTGAGGGGGGGGGGGGGGGGGGGGGCGCAAGGCCGCTGTGTCTGCCTCTGGACCAGAAAGCACAGGACTCTCTGTCCTTCTCTGGAGGGGACTCTGCTGGGATCAAAAGCATTAAGTGGTGTGTGAACACACAATACGCTCCCAGGAACCAGCCTCGGAGCAGCGCTGCTGTCACAGCAGAGGCAGGCGGTGATGGGACTGGAGGAAAAAGGCTGCCGTAGTTCAGAACGAGGTACAACATTTCTTAGTGTCAAACATCCGCAAAACACAGGATCTTCACATGGAACCTGCTTCTCCCGACTTGGACGGAGAGAAACAGAATTCAGAGTCTGTTCTCTGCCTCCATCATCACTCCCTGCCTCTCCCCAGGAAAGCCCCTCAGAACACGTCAGAATGTCCTTGGCTTTCTCACTGACGGCCACTCCTCTTCTTTTCGCAATTTTGATAAATACAGGCAAAAAGGGGGCCTCGCCCTTTGGGATTATTTTCTAAGTTGTTCCCATCGCTCGTCATCTTGGGCTTTACGCCCTCGTGGAAGGAAAGAGGACTCGGGGTTTGGTCAAGAGTACCCTGGGCTCCCAACCAGCTCTTGTCTGAAATAAATATGCAACATCGTGCAGGGGCCTCCAATCCCAACCCCACGTCAGCAGATGAGGGGCTCCAGGATGGCCTTCATTCCGAGGCAGCGTCTCCCTCGAGCTGTTGGCTAACTTCAAAAGGACAAGGAATAACGTCACAGGGGACTCAGCAGATACCACCTCGGCCTCCCGGTCAAGGTCAGCTTTGCCAATGAAGACACATGGACAGCAGGTACCGCCCGGGATGCACGGAGGAGGGCACGTTACTGCTCTGGAATTCTTGCCACAAAGGCACAGCCTTCCATGGACCATTAGGGGAGGATCAAAGAAACCCAGATTGGAGGGCTTTCTACAATACAGCTGACCAGTACCATTCAAGATGACCAAAGTCACAAGAGACAGGAAAGGAGGGAGGGAGGGAGGAAGGGAGGGAAGGAGGGAGGGAGGGACGGACAGACAGACGGACTCAGGCCCAAGGAAGCACAGTGGGCCTTACCTTCTTAATGAACGCCACTGAGAACGTATCCCAGGACACGATCCCATGGTCCATCAGCTCCACGAAGGCCGTCAGCGTGAAGGACAGCATGTCTCCAAAGCTGGAAAACACAGGGAGGCACAATGGTCACGGGCCCGGAGCCGAGCGTGGGGAGAGACATGGGAGTGATGAAGCCTGAGGAAATGGGACACAGCAGAGCTGTAAGAGGTCACTGGGGTCAGCGGCTGGGCCACAGACCATGCGGTGCAAACCTGTGTCCAGGGACAGGACGCAGGCCGGACTCCCAGGCTGCCCAGGGAGCCGGGCCGCAGTGGGACTGACCGGGCTCACAGTGCCCCGCTCTGGTGAGCTGTGCCTTAAAAGGACAGAAGGGCGTTTTATCTCCAGGCACACAGGAAAGAGGGAGATGTTTTCCATATGCTCAGACCCTGGTCGCTGTGGAGGCCCTGTTAGCCTTCCTGCCTTTGAAAGGATAACCCAAACCCTACATGTTAACTCAAACCTTGCATTTGGCACATGAGGGTTTAAAGGACAGCTCAGCCATGAGCTAGGGTGACGGAGACAGGCAACGCGCCTCTGTATTGCCCGTGGGTGTCTAACAGGGAAGGCGAGAAATGATTATCCTCAGAGTATTAGCACTCTGCACAGGATCTGCGTGGCCTCCATGTATCTGTGTGTGTGCGTGTGTGTGTGTGTGTCTGGTCAAGTGCACACAGACACAAGCTCATAGAGACAAGCCTGTATGTAGGTAAGGACATTCCTTTCTGTGTGACACTGGCCAGCATCTTCTCTCTGCACAGTGTCTATGGAGAGATGACCGTTGGCCGGCAGCAGGTGGCTGTGACTGGAGGACAGTGGGAAGGGTCTAAGGTGGGCACTAGAACTTCACACACAGACGCAGCAAGCACAGGTAAAGGCAGTTGTGCCCCCATCAGACAACATCCTGGTCTCTGGTGCCTTCAAAACAACACTTTAACAGACGCCCTGCATCTCACAGAAACCCACCTCTACTGTAAATGCTCATCATAATAAACCTGAGACTCTCAAGATTGGGACTCTCCAAGTTCATGGGATCATGGGCCTCGGGACTTCTACACGACCTGCCCTGAGTCATTTGCTTGGTTTTTTAAAATAGAGGAGCTTGTTCAGATGTTCAATCTGTAGACTCCTGTTTACCACAATTGCTACACCACCAGATGTCAATTACTCGATTAGAAAGCAGCCCGTGTTTCTTTTAAAGCAGCTTCACAGTTTCCCCTCCTCCCTGTGCTCTCAGCGCAGCCTCAGCAATGACCTTGGGATCCTGCCTTTCCCAGGAGCTGTGATGCTGAAAAGAAACCCAGGAGAGAAGCGGCCCCTGCCCAAAGCTGCAGAGGGCAGAAAGGAGGAGAAGCAATGGACGGAAACGGGTGAGGGGTGGCTCCCCAGTCACAGGGCAGAGGGTCCCCTCCAGCTCGAGGCAGGACATCAGTGGTGCATCTCTGCCTCAGTTTCCTCACTTATCACAAAGAGCGATGCTGCCGGTGGTGGTGCCTAACCAGACGACTGCTGGGAGAGAAGCCACCTTCAGGCGGGTACGGCATGGAGGAAGCAGCACAGACTGGCTCGGACCATCAGCAAAAGCGAGGCTTCGAAAGGTAAACGAAGCCTGTGATTGTCAAGCGTTTGCCTTCAATGTGTCCATAACGATCTGCCTTTGGAACCAGAAAAATAAACATGCAAGAAAAGCCAAACCACTCAGGCCGATAGAAAAGCAGCAAATACTCTTTTAAAGGCTCTTTTCTGAGTCCCAGCTGGGCACTCACACCTACAAGTGCCCCTAGGTGGCATCAGAGGATCAGCCCCAGCAAATACATCCCAGACCAGAAGACACGCTTCCTTAAGGAGAGAACAAAAACGTAGAAAGACAGGAGACAGGGGATGAAGAGAGTAGCAAGAAAGGTTAAACAAAAATTCCAGAATGACTCTTTCTACTG